CAGACAGATAGACAGATAGATAGATAGATAGATAGATAGATAGATAGATAGATAGATAGATAGATAGATAGATAGATAGATAGATAGATAGATACCAGACAGACAGACAGACAGATAGACAGACAGACAGATAGATAGATAGGCAGGCAGACAGACAGACACATTTAGAAAGACATACTAGCAACCAACAACACTGAGACTTGTGACTTAAAGGGATAATTCACTGCTATTTTGCACGTTCAAGGCTAGTTTGATTATATGACTATTATTATGGCTGCGTTCACACTGCAGGGGCTTAATGCTCAACTTCATGCTCAATTTTTTTGCAAGGCCGTTCACATTTCCAATTAAATGCGACCTTTTGTGATCTCCTGTGTGAACGTGAGCGTGAAATGACCCAGAAGTGACCCGCATGCGCAGAAGAGTACTCAACGGTCAACAACGTCACTTGTTGTTTGCGGAAGTAGCTAAACATGGATGTCAACAGTGGAGCTCGTTTAGCAATATTAAAGTTATTTTCCCAACAGAGCCAGCACAATTACAATCTTCTCATTCCCGCCTACTTCAACACAGAATTATGACGTTTGTCGCATATCAATGACGTGTGGGTCGGATACATGTGACCTGGCCGTTCAGATTGAAGTCGCATTTCAAAAGATCGGATGCATATCGGATTTGGACCACATACCCAAGTGGCCTGGGTCGCATTTGAAAAGATCGGATCTGTGTCAATCAGACTGTCATGAAAAGATCAGATACAGGTCGCATAGGGGTAAAAAAAGTCAGAATTGGGTCGTTTCAGCCTGCAGTGTGAACGTAGCCTATTAGATGGGAATGTTGTTCCTGAACCTGAGCATTGTTGTGTGTTCAGATGAAGAAGATTGCTCGCAGACAGCAGCAGCAGCAGCAACAGCAGGAACAGGAGCAGATGGGCGGCACCAGGAGAGGCCCGAGCAGAGGGGGGCGCCAGAGTAACGATGACAGTGAGGGTAAGACACGGGCGGACGGCGGAGTGGAAGGACAACCATGTGAAATGGCTTGATGAAAGGTGTAATCTCCCCAACTCTATCTCTTCACAGACGGCTCCAGCAGTCACGGACTGGATGGGTTGCTCTCATATTCCTCTCTGCCACGGCAACAACTGCTGGCTTTGGATCCGAACATATACGGCAGCGAGCAATTCCGACACGGGCTCACGCCACCACAGCTCGGCCCCGAGCAGATGCACTCCTACGGTAAGGATTGTATAAACTTCGGCATTGCTTATTCTTTTTCGTTAACTGAAATGTTTGTGTTTGAACGCCGAATTCATTTCAGACTCAGAGACAGTTTTCCATGACTTGGACAGTGATGGAAGTCTCAGTCATCTTGGGGACTGTCTCTTGTCGACCGCAGATGGTGGAGTTCTGGCGGGCCGGATAGGAAATCCCATTGATCGCCTCTACTCGATGCAAAACTCATACTTTACCTCATGACCCTGGTTCCACCTACCTAAAGCGCTCCTCCACCACTGCAGGGGGCAACAAACAGAGTTTCACTGGAGGCGTCTTTCATCAGAACTAATTGAGTCCCTCAATCATATCTTAGTCGTGCCAATAAAGCTCTAACCAGTCAAACTAAGACATGACCAGACCCTAAAAATTCAATATGACATTGGACAGAATAGGAATTCACTGGAATCTCATGTTTTATATCACACATATGCACTATTTTTTTTGTTCTGTATTGCGCAAAAAATTTTCGACAGTCATAGGTGCAGACATCAACAGGCAGCTGTTCATGAAGTCCAAGTGTTACCTCACCCTCTACTCAATGTAAAACTAACAAATTGATCAAGGCTGTATCCAAAATCTCCCCCTATATTCTCATTCAGTGCTTGAATGATGATGTATTTTGTAGGCCAACCAAAAAGTTAGCGGTACCTCGATAAAAAGATCACCAATATGATTATTCTATTGGATTATTGCAGAAAATGCTCTGTGAGAGTTTATGATTCTTACACGTTTTGTTCATCAATTTTTGAAAATGTTGAAACCTAAATACAATCGGTGAAGGTAAAAATCTAACCGTATAAACAAACTACACCATGGTCACATACAGTAAATCATGTTACCATGGTGTAGTTTGTTTATACATCACCACCTTTAAGCATCCAACAAATACATCAGTCTTTGTTTTAAAAAACTTTTCCCTGAAAGTCTGAGTTAGAATAGTTTGTAAGAGTGTGATTATAAAAACTGTGGCTGAGGCTGTGAAAGTAGATTAGTGTGTAGAAGAGTTTACCCGTTCGGTGCGATGACGTTTAAAGGTGAAGTAAGCCATTTTTGAGAAACCGAGTTGCACGACACACTTGTAGCCAATCAGAAGTAGGGGGCATGTCAACTCATGATGAGGAGGATAGAGTGAGCCAATCAGCATCAGGGGGCGTGTCCACTCATGATAAGGAGAGAGTGAGCCAATCAGAAGTAGGGGGCGTGTCCACTCATGATGAGGAGGAGAGAGTGAATCAGCAGTAGGGGGCGTGTCCACTCATGATGAGGAGAGAGTGAATCAGCAGTAGGGGGCGTATCCACTCATGATGAGGAAAGAGTGAGCCAATCAGAAGTAGGGGGCGTGTCCACTCATGATGAGGAGAGAGTGAGCCAATCAGAAGTAGGGGGCGTATCCACTCATGTTGAGGAGGAGAGAGTGAATCAGCAGTAGGGGGCATGTCCACTCATGATGAGGAGAGAGTGAATCAGCAGTAGGGGGCGTGTCGACACTCATGATGAGGAGGAGAGAGTGAATCAGCAGTAGGGGGCGTGTCCACTCTTGATGAGGAGAGAGTGAGCCAATCAGAAGTAGGGGGCGTGTCCACTCATGATGAGGATAGAGTGAGCCAATCAGAAGTAGGGGGCGTATCCACTCATGTTGAGGAGGAGAGAGTGAATCAGCAGTAGGGGGCGTATCCACTTATGATGAGGAGGAGAGAGTGAATCAGCAATAGGGGGCGTATCCACTCATGATGAGGAGGAGAGAGTGAATCAGCAGTAGGGGGCGTTTCCACTCATGATGAAGAGAGAGTGAGCCAATCAGAAGTAGGGGGCGTGTCCACTGATGATGAGGATAGAGTGACCCAATCAGAAGTAGGGGGCGTGTCCACTGATGATGAGGAGAGAGTGAGCCAATCAGAAGTAGGGGGTGTGTCCAGTCATGATGAGGAGAGAGTGAGCCAATCAGAAGTAGGGGGCGTGTCCACTCATGATGAGGAGAGAGTGAGCCAATCAGAAGTAGGGGGCGTGTCCAGTCATGAGGAGGAGAGAGTGAATCAGCAGTAGGGGGCGTGTCCACTCATGATGAAGAGAGAGTGAGCCAATCAGAAGTAGGGGGCGTGTCCACTGATGATGAGGATAGAGTGAGCCAATCAGAAGTAGGGGGCGTGTCCACTCATGATGAGGAGAGAGTGAGCCAATCAGAAGTAGGGGGCGTGTCAAGTCATGATGAGGAGAGAGTGAATCAGCAGTAGGGGGCGTGTCCACTTATGATGAGGAGAGAGTGAGCCAATCAGAAGTAGGGGGCGAATCCACTCATGATTAGGAGAGAGTGAATCAGCAGTAGGGGGCGTGTCCACTCATGATGAGGAGAGAGTGAATCAGCAGTAGGGGGCGTGTCCACTCATGATGAGGAGAGAGTGAATCATCAGTAGGGGGCGTATCCACTCATGATGAGGAGAGAGTGAATCAGCAGTAGGGGGGCGTGTCCACTCATGATGAGGAGAGAGTGAGCCAATCAGAAGTAGGGGGCGTGTCCACTCATGATGAGGATAGAGTGAGCCAATCAGAAGTAGGGGGCGTGTCCACTCATGATGAGGAGAGAGTGAGCCAATCAGAAGTAGGGGGCGTGTGCACTCATGATGAGGAGAGAGTGAGCCAATCAGAAGTAGGGGGCGTGTCCACTCATGATGAGGATAGAGTGAGCCAATCAGAAGTAGGGGGCGTGTCCAGTCATGATGAGGAGTGAGCCAATCAGAAGTAGGGGGCGTATCCACTCATGATGAGGAGGAGAGAAAGTGAGCCAATCAGCAGTAGGGGGCGTGTCCACTCATGATGAGGAGGAGAGAGTGAGCCAATCAGCAGTTGGGGGCGTGTCCACTCATGATGAGGAGGAGAGAAAGTGAGCAAGAGAGAGATTTGAAGAAAGACTGTAGAAAGAGATGGCTGAGAGACATTACAAAAGAGAAAAGGTCAGATGAATATCAGTGGTAAAATAAGGGTTATGATAAGGAAAGAGCTTTAGGACCCGCCTTACTATTAGAAAAGCTTTCCAGCGAGACTTGAGCGGGAAGGCCTGAAAACAGACGCAGAGGTTGTGTTGTTTCTGTTCCATATGCGAGTAACATTGGTTTTGCTGTTTCGCTGAACCAAGATATGATGTTGTTGTAATGTTAGCTTTAATAACAGGACAGTTTTGAGTGTTATTGTTTGTCTGGAGCGGCTGGCAATTAACAACCAACTCTTTCTTGTACTCTTGTGCGTTTTGGGGGCGGAGCAATGAAGGGAGGGGTGTGTTTTATTTGGGTTGATTTCAGATATCAACAGTGTTTCTCAGAAATTGCTTACTGCACCTTTAATGTGCCAAACAACCTCTGTAGTCCCATTTAGCCACTTGTTAGTAAACGCCCTTTTCAAGACAAGTAAAAGCTATTAATGATGTATTTTATGTTGTAGAATACAACGTCAAATTGAGCTTGTAAACCACAGACCTTATTTCAGGCATATAACCAAAAACCCATTGTCTTTTAGGATGATGGAACTAGAAGTACTAAAATGCTAACTCGTGTCTGGGTTTTGGCCGACAAAATCATGTAATTCCTGCAGCACACTCTATTCATTACATTACTCTACTGATATCGTCCACTGAACGACTGAGCTGGAAGTTCTGTCCACTATGGTTTCAAACAGCACTAAATATGGCTGTCCCCTCAAATAATGAAAGGATATAGGAGTGATTTCTGACACAGCCCGAGCCTATTTCCACTCTCTTCTTATTGCTTTGCGATCTTTATGTCATTCCTTATGTAAAGGAATCAGCTTTTATTTCAATCTAACGTGAAAACCAAAATAGTCTAGCATGCTGGCTAGAAGTCAATGTACATTCATATTTCTTGTCAAGTAAAAATGTATATTAAAGGTGCACTCAGTAGTTGTATGTATGTCAAGCTGACCGATATAGCAGTTGTCTTGGACTTACACTGACACCTAGTGGCGTGGATGCAGCATCACACAAACGCAAAAGTTTGGACCAGGGTTATTATAGTAAACTAAAACCATTAAAAAAACTTGAAATAAAGTTAAAATGCTGCCAAGGCAACATTTATTTAGTTTAACTTGACAGGCTAAAACTAAAACTGAAATAAATACTATATAGACATATTTTTTAAGAAAGCTAATAAAATGAAACTGTTATAAAAAAAAACTGTTAATTTTTATTTTATTTTGAAGACTGTTGATTTTTTGAAGTGTAAAACTCTTAATGAGATAAAAATCTGAGTGCACCTTTAACATTTGAAATTCCTTTTCACAAATTAGAAATGTTGACAGCTAGTGCAGTATTTTTTATAAAGAAATTTAATTTGGAATTAATTTGTTTGTTTTTTAAATACTGGCAGTTTCTCAGAAAGAGTTTAATTCTTTAATGTTTCAAGCCGCCTTAACTGTGCATTAGACAATTAAAGAGACAAAATATTAAAATAGTACACCATAAAATAATGAAATGTCAAAAATTGAAGTAGATATCTCAAAAAAAAAAATAGTGAGCGAGTATTATGCTGTAATTTAATATTTAATTTAACAAACCCACAAATGAGATTATTTAATATAAATCTCAGGTTTTTAAACAGTATAACATTTGGACACAGGGTAAAGTTTCTCTGATTAAAAAAAAATATATATCAAGGGCCTTGATTTGTACACCGTAGCAAAAATGTTGGTACGGCGACTATGAAAAACATGTAGGTTTTAGATTGTTAGGCATCAGGTAAAATGTAGGGATGTGCTCTAATCTCCAAACTGAGATAAGGAAATAATCAGGGTTATTGCTGTTACAGGGTTAGTTAGCCTACAGTTACAGGGTTGATCATAAAAATGACATCTATCTCTTTAGTACTGACAGGAAAAATAGCACAAAGTATTAAGAAGACCCCCTGAAAGTTACAGGACGTGTACATTTGGCAAAGTGTTGCTATTGTGCTTTATTGTAATATACTAAATGTGTTGCTCATATGACTGTTGTTGTAATTAGCACTATTGTTATTCGTGTAGTTATTTACTTCACCTCTTTTTACTCATTATGTTCTTGACTATTTTTAATGGCAACAATAGCACTGGAATATTTATGTTGCAGCATGATACTTATGTGAAATGTATTATTTATATTGAAGAATGTACAGTAACTCCACCTGCTTATGAAAACCCTGACTGGAATGTAGTTTCTATTACACTGGACATGACTTTCTGGTAAATCAAGTGTGCAGCTGACTGCTCACACATATCCATGAACCATTTTGTGATACTGGACAGTTTTATTTAGTGTTATAATATTTCTCCAAAGGACTGCGGTGGTGACAGCTGTTGATGGGGAGATGAATGGTGCGTCTTTCTGTTCCTTTTAGTGTGATGACTTTCAGTGAACGTGTTTTTGTGAACGGTGTTCTCGGGTTTCCAATATAACTCGTCATTTCAAACATTGACGCTTGGCTGTGTGATTTATGGCTCATGCACTCTGATAAGTATGTGATTCTGGTAAAACAGTTACATTTCTTTCCACTTTTGATGAAAGATCTGTTCAACTCGGTGGTCAAAGGCTCAGAACCCCGTGTCCTCCCTCCCGTTTAACCAGCGGTCAAAGCAATCCTAATCTAATGCCTCCCTACAGTCTTTTGTTCCTGGACGCAGGGAACCGGTGGGCATGTGAGGGGGAGACATTACATGTCTGCATTCTTTGGTTTAATATTATACTGTGACGCCAAGGTAAGGGGAAAAACATTCAAACGGTGACTAACAGAGAACAAGAAATACCAGTTATAATTGACATAACGGCATAAACGAATTTAATCATGTATCATTTTCATGTATTAATTCCATTTTCATTGCCACGTTTTGTGTAAACAGCTTGTAACAAAACTTTTTTTTTAAAAACGAGACCTTGCCCAACTTCATAGGTTGTCTATAAAAGCCTGTACAATGTTACGGACTGTTACGGTTATGCGCGATCCCGGAGAGCCTCTCTTCCTGACACATGAAAGCATTATACAAAGTTCAAGTCAAGATAATGGCGAAAGAGCCATTCTGTACTGTAATGTCAATGTGTCATGCAAATAAAATTTAAACTATAGTCTCACATATCCAAATCTATCTCAAATAGCCTATACTTTATAATCAATTCAAACTATTATAACAGTTTAATTTTAATTACCTCATCTGTCGCCATGATGCTGGTGAATTGCAGAGCTTGTGCAAACACATCCACATCGCTATCAGATGCTTTCATACCTGCCGTTTATTCACCGCTTTATTTGTTGTCATATTCATCTAACCGTCACTCTCAGCAGCGTGGGCGGCATTGGGATGTTCGTTAAAAGTATCGCTGCAAATGTGTTTACAACTTTTTAACTTCTAGCAAAAAAAAAAAGGAAGTTCGGGCCCTTATCATCTGTTCAGCCTCAACTATGTGTGCACGAGTCAAGCACGAGCGATAAGTTGCTGGCTGCAGTTCACTTAACGACCACCGGTGTCGCTAATAACAAGGGTTTCTGAATTCTACATATAGCCCCTTTAACTGAAGATAAACATATATTATCATAATAATTATGTTTCCATTGCAGTAAAGAATGTTAATATAGATCTAAAATTAATCCATGTTTCAGTGACAGCTTAAGCTAAATTTATAAAAGATATTAAGACATGTAAATACTTGCATGGGTTAAAAAGAAAACCGCATGTTCATCTAAAAATAATTATAGAATTTAATATTTTCCTCACTAAGACTCCTAATAAGAATACTGATTTGAATAGAGGTTCTTTTTTTTTTCTTAAAATATATAATTTAATATCTGTAGTCCACCGTGATTAGATTCTCACAGAAGAATTTCATATTGGTGTGTGAAAAAATATTTTTGGGGATTTAAGTATTTAACAGTGAAACAAAATGGTTTGCTGGTAACCATTCAATATTTAAAAGAGCAGAGAGCTGTAGAGAAAAAAACTGAAATGCATATTTTTATTGCAACTTCATGGTTTAATATCATGGAAACCTTTTAAAAATTATTTCTCTCATAAATAGTGTGAAAAGTTCCAAAAACAAAACAAAAACAAAATCTAATATCACATTACACAGTCTTTTCTTGCATCTTTTCAGTGCAAAAGATTTAGCTCTGTTCTTGTGTGTGTGTGTGTTGCAGTTCTTCATATACAATATTTCCATTATCCATTTCTTCCCAGTATTGAGTATAAAACACCTGTGCTATTGTCCTCATTAGACAGAACAATGGCGAAAACATCTATGTGGGCTGAGGCGCAGCATTTGCTGTTGAAAAAAAAAAAAAAAATTATATATATTTTTAATGCATTGTACTCTCTGTAATAAATTCAAGCTGCATGTCAGATTATAGCATTATATAAACACACATACTTCACTGCTTACCTATTCCTGAAAGGTCGACGGTCTCAACACAGGCAAGGAAACGGGTGAGGCGAGGTTGACACGCTTCGGCAGAGCTCTGGTTCTCTCGCAGACAGCTCTCAAACACAGAAAACTCACCGGCACAGTCTGTTCGGATCTTCCTTATCACAGGACTGCATTTAGATGCAAGAAAAAGCATCATAAATAAAGCCCTTTGTATTTGAATCCGGGTAAATAAACACATGATTATTGTTTCATCAGTTTTAGGGAAAAGTAAACTCTCACTAGTTATTTAATTTGTCTACAAACAATGCATATTGTGTGTGTGCGTGTGTGTGTGTGTGTTGCAGTACTGTATAGCTCAGGGGAAATCATTTTAATTCATTCAGTTTTACTAATGTCATGAACATGTCTACCAGTATCACATCTCAAACAATGCATTATGTTTAATAGTATTAGGTGGTGGAGAAAGTACTAATTTAAACATATTATAGATACAACGGCAGACTCATTTGTCTTCCTAATATTTCATATGTATGTATAATTAAATAACAGGAGTTTTTGGAGAGAAAAAAAAGACAAAATACAGTTTGATGATAAATATTAAAATATTCTGTTCCCACGTAATTATGATTAGCTTGATGTTTTAATAAGCTAATCATAATAAGTTTAAATAAGACGTCTAATATTTCATTCTGTGTGATCATGGCATAACTGTGAGGTAGTTGCTATTAAATTATATATTTGTTCTTAGATTGTCATTGATTTAATGAAGGCATTGTAAAACAACAGTTTTAATGTGACCTACGTATATAACACAAATCTTTTCATTTTAATAATACAACTCAACCCCTGGGACAGAAGAAACGTGTTTGAAGTTGAAGAAACACATTTACATCAATGTGTGATAGAAATAAGAATAAGTAGCTTTGCACAGCAAAGAGAATAAAAGAAATGGAAATGCATTTGTCTGCAAGCATGACATTTGAACATACTGTGATGAAGTGCACTGTGCCACCTTCAGCTTCAGGTCTAGACACTTCTCTTGCCATGATGCTGGATGAGACACAACACAGCCACCATATTCCTCCAGCTCCTTCTGGCAGTATTTGGTTGTGATGGCCATCGCTGCCTGCCTGTCATTATGCAGTTAAATATGTTTTATTAGCCTAAATGCAAATTACAATAAATTAGCAACACTGCAGCAGGTGACCGACTAATGCGTTCAACGACAGTCTGTCAAATAAAGTTTTAGAGAATGTTGTTATTACAAAATAAACATTCTAGTTCATACAATGCACCGTTCATTTTAGATAATGTAGTTTAAACATAGCTTGGTTTGCTATCAGGCTGCTGTCATCGTATTACAGCGCAAGCTTGACAAATAGAATATAAAACAAGCATTTAACACACAGCTGTCAATCAGCACTACTTACATGTTGAACACCTTTGATTTTGACTCGTTTAAACCGAGTCGGTTTCCTGAAGGTTACTCTCGACGGCACATCACCACGCAGAGACACGCACATGTGCAAAGGGAACGTCCGCGTCGCGCTCCCGCCGGAGGAATTCGATTGGTCAATGTTTGCACTTACCGTGATCTTATTGGCCGTTTCACTGGGAGCGTGAAAGAATGGGCGTGGCTTTACGCTACACACTTTTTATTTACATTTCATCGCACGATTACTTTACCGTTCATCGTCATAATTTGTTTTTAAAAATCGTTTTTCTTTACCGAAGTCACATTTCAGGACAATAATTAGATTTAAATGAATATTTTCATGTGATATACTGAAGTTCCAAAGAAAAACAATAAAAAAGAAACAACGACAAAAAATATATATATTCTCATTCATAATAGAGAAAAGCAGATTATGTGCCATCATAGAGATCTTCATCACTTGTTGTGATGTCAAAACCCCTGGTTGTTCTATTTTAGTAGGTGCTACAAGTAGCCTAAATTTAAGAAATGTATTTGTTTCAAATATAAAATGGGAGAGGACGCCACCTATCTATTAATATACTTATTTTTATATACAGTTTGTTTAAAGTCATCTATTAAATAAAATAAAAAATAGATTGGAGCTAGACTATTTTATTTATGTATATGGAACTTCCATCATAAAATCAATAATCGTGTAATATATGGTTTTTCTATTACTATCATGTTGTTTTTAAAATATATCATTTGTTTCCATTTTAAATCTCCTGATAACATTTTCTGTAAACTCGAAAAATCTCCACGCAAGAATTATTTACCGGATATTGCGTCACCGGCGTACGTGCTTGCGTATGCGGAAACTGTCGTATGTGTCTGATATTTTTCAGAAATCTGAAGAGTGGCCAGACAACAGGCCGGTGCGAAGCTGACTTTTTACCATCAGCGCCTGCAAGGAGGAGGTGGAGAGTAGGAGGGTCGACGGAGGAAGGCACACTCTAGAATGGATGAAGCTAAAAAAGAGGGAAATATGGCCGCGGACGGCGTTGATGGCACGGGGGGGACGCGGACGCAGACGCGCGCACCGAGCGATGAGCTGGTGAGATCAGTGTCTCTCCACAGCCGCAGATCACGCGTCCTGCACGGTACGGTATTCCCGTTCCTCCTCCTCTACCCACTCTGCTTATATACGTGGTTTGGGGTTTACGGGGCATCCGAGTATGTTGAAGCCGGCCTGCTGGCGCTCGCCGCTCTCGGGATCGCGCACGTCCTGACAGTGCTCTCTGGCTACTGGTCCGTGCACGCGCACTGCTGGCTCACTTGCTCAAAGGTGATAAATGACACATAAAACATATATGTGCAATATAAGCATTGTTTTGAAAGACTAACACGTTTGGGGGGGGGGGGTTGACTAAGTCAAAAATCCAAACATATGTTTGGAGTGTCTCATAATAATGCACAGTAAGCTGACTGTAATTATGCAATTATATTTCAAACAGGAGTCTGATCCAGCCAAAGCCACATTTGCAAAAGTTATACCAACACCCAACAATGGTTCAGCTGAATTAGTGCCTCTTCTGAGGGATAAGGTGAGAGATTTTTTCCCCCTGGTGTTTAGGGGTCACATTTTGTTATCCTCAAAATAAACCCAAGGTAATAAACGTAACCATTTTAATTCAATGAATGTAGTAGATTTTGTAATATTTTTATATAACTTTCAATTAATACAGTTTAAGTTAAAAATAGAAAAAAAAAAATTTCAAAATCCATTGCAAAGAAGGCATATTTGTGCCATCTGATGGGAGAAATAAACAAAATCATATAATTCCATAACCAGTAGATGCCTATATAGTCCTAAATAAACACAACGTATTCCCTAGTTGCTTATAAGATCGTTTTCTGACATAAATTCTTACTTTTATTAGGTTTTGCATTTGGATATAAGTATATATTTAGACATCACCAATGAATATTTCACCATGGTTGAGTTGATTGTACCCTAAAAACTGCTCCTTATTTTATACAGAGTATTATACAAATACTTTTGTATTTGGAAATAAATTAAATCTTAAATGTATATGATTTTCCAGTATTTAGATTTCAGATTTTCAGAAGTTCTTATCTATAAATCATGGACACCTTGACAAATCATGATAATTTATTGGTCAAAAGGTGTTGAAACCCCAAATGTAGGTTAGATGAAACCTACATTGTTTGTTGTTTTTGTTTGTGTTGTTGCGCAGGATGAGGATGGAGCGGAAAGCCTGTCCTTTGAGTTCCAGAAGATCCGTTATGTGTACGACAGCAAGGAGAAGAAGCGCTTTCTGCAGGTGGCGTTCCCGATCCACTTTCCCATGAGTCATTTCCAGGACTGGAGAGGTTATCAGGAAGAGGCTCAGCTGCGGGCTGCAGAGAAGCTCTACGGCACCAACCGCGCAGAGATGATGGTGCCGGACTTCCTGGAGCTCTTCAAGGAGAGAGCCACAGCACCCTTCTTTGTCTTCCAGGTGCGTCTGCGGTGCATGTGCCTTTGTTTTACTGATATGCAGTGCTGGGCAGATTACTCACAAATTGTAGTCAGTTACAGATTGCAAATTACATGGTGAAAATTGTAACGTAATCTATTACCTTGCACATTTTAGGTAATGTATTCTGGCTACTTTTTGATTACTTTTGACCTAATTTTAAAAAGACAAAACCTTACAAAGGCAATAATACATGGTACTACAGAGATGACTCACTTGAGTGATAATTCAAATAATAATTAAATGTGTATCAGGAGTTGATTAGATCTGCAATGATGAGAAAACAGTCTTTAAAAGTGTAAATTCAGTGGTCAAGTGCTGTTGCCTCTCCTTCATGTAATTACAGCCACTTGACTAGTGGCTGGTGGGTGCAGTTTCGCATATCTCGAAGACTTTGAGCATATACATATATATATATATATGATAGGCTTTTTTAGAAAGGAAAATTAAAGAATTAAAAAAGAAGAATTGAAGAGAATCAATAAATTCTGTATCATTTTGTAACACTGTGTGAATATGTAATCAATAAAAACGTTAACTGTAGTCGGGTTACTTTAAAATGTAATCCAATCCAATTGCAAGTACTTAATTTTTGGAAGCTGTCCTCCAGATTACATATAATCAGTTACTACTCAGCACTGCGTATATTTATGGGGCGTTTACCTGATGTATTAATGGCCTGTACATTATAAATGTATGAATATACTGTAAATGCGTCACCTTATGGCTGGGCTTCTCGATCCTGGTTTGGCTTTTTAACACTGAAAATGTGTCAAATATACATCCCGCGTCCAGGATTGAGAAGCACTACCCTGTGGGTATGGAATGACCTGCATGGCTTTGTTCTCCTGCAGGTGTTTTGTGTGGGTCTGTGGTGTTTGGATGAGTACTGGTACTACAGTGTCTTTACGCTCTTCATGCTTGTGGCGTTTGAAGCATCTCTGGTGCAGCAGCAGATGAGGAACATGTCAGAAATCCGCAGGATGGGGAACAAACCTTTCATGATTCAGGTAACTGCGACTGCTTTCAGCTTCCAGCTCCAGTTTTTGTTCATCTGTTGTGAAACGCCCATGTTTGTCTACTAACTCTTATCGAAATGTTCTTTATAAAGCACACGGTGCTGGTTCTGCCTTCTGATTGGTCAATGCAGCATTCCATTTGTGATATAGTAACATGTACAGCTACCATATTTATAAAACATTCTGTTATTGTATGCTTGTCGGGGTCTATATGTTTTATTGAAAGTATGAGGAGTACGAAAGAATATGCTTAGTAAAATAATGGTTTATGTAGTAACTATTGGATACATAGTAACTATTTTATGAAAGTAATCTCTTGCCTTATTGCTTAATTTAAAAAACAAGATTTAGAATAAGAGCAATATGGTATAATTTAAGCTTTTTCCACTTGTAACAGGTCTATCGAAACAGAAAATGGAGGCCTGTATCCAGTGATGAACTAGTCCCTGGAGACATTGTCTCAGTTGGTGAGTTTTATGTATTCCTGATTTGATTGTAAAGCGCTTTGGATGTACAGTAGCCCATTGTAAAGCGCTATATAAATGCCTCATTCATTCATTAATCTGTCTCAGGGTTTTTCCTGGGTCACAAATGGTCTTTGGTGGTGGCAGACGAACACACACACACACACACACAGTAAAAAGTACTCTACCCATGTGAACTGCGAGCCCAGTACTGACAATACATCCAAAATAAATGCAAAGAGAAAGGTTGTAAAATTAATTATCCTATTTATTAATGAAATGAATGACAATCACTGTCAGGACCGATCATAAAACAAAGTGCTTAAAAAATATTTTATATTTAAAAATCTGTAAATGTATTCATAAAAAGTCACTGAGTGACTGATTTGAAAAGTTAGTGATAAAATGAACAGAAAAGTAATAGAAAAAGTGTCAGGTCTATTATTTAGATTTTACACTCCAAGACTTAATGCACAGATCGTATGACATACAGTATCAGATTGTTTTGTTCTGTCCGTTGCTATGGTTATCACTCACTGTCAATCGGATTCAGTCGCGCATTTAAATACGGTTGTCAGTCCAGAAACTTTGCATTGTGTAGTTAGCAGCATGAAAAATGTATATATACAGAAAGCCAACAAAGATCACTCAAACTGTCAATTTCAGTTCAGCGCGAGGTACACAAAGCTGCACTCTTGCGAAAACTCACGTTATAGTCAATGAAGCTGTGTAATGAATCTCTTATTGACATCGTGTTTGTTTATATTTGGTTGGTTATAATGATTCGCGAGCGTGCAGAACTCGCGCTGAACAAAAACTGCCTGAGCAGATTCGGACTAACTTAACTTAAACACCTGATTTACGATCGCGTTCTCTCGTCAGGTATGTCTCAATGCTGAAAAAACCTAAATAGAAACCTTACACAAACATTAACTGGAGCATTTTAAAGGGATAGTTCACCCAAAAATGAAAATTCTGTCATCATTTACTCACCCTCGAGTTGTTCCAGACCTGTACGAGTTTCTTCCTGAAAAACCATCAACCGTCTGGTTACCTACATTCTTCTGCTAAACACAAAATATATTTTGAAG